TGACTGCTATAGCCTCAAGGCAGGAGTAATGAATAAAGCATAATAAAAATGTGAATCCATAAAGACAGCAGTCATATTTTAAAAATGAAGGCACGAATTAGACACAGGAAAGGAGAAAAGAGATTTGTTTTCTCTTAATTAAAAAATGTTAGATATCTCTAACTTTTTGAATAGCTAAGAAATGTGATGGTCTAGCTAAATGAAGATGAAATTTAGGTTCTAGATGTCCGTTCTTTCCAAACTCTATAGGTTTAATTTTATTCTTGCCAACATCTCTCCAAAACTGTACAAATCCAAGCAAGAGCTGATCATAAAAGTTACTTGAAAATTAAAGACTGAAAAATAGCCAAAATGAGAAGGAAGAAAAATGGGAAGACAGCCTACTTAGATATCAATACTTCCTAAAACATACATAATAAAATCCAGTATGTTATAAGAGAAAAAGGGAGAGTCCAAAAAGAAACTCAGGTATGTGTGGCAAACTGATTTTCAATCAAAAATTCAATTTAATTCAACGAGAAAAGGAAAGGCCTTTAAGCAACTGTTCTGAAATGTTGGCTATGTATCTGTGGTGGTTTGAATGAGAATGGCTCCCATATGCTCGTAGATTTGAGTGCTTGGTCCCTGGCTGGTGAACATTTTGGTAAGGATTAGTAGGTGGAGTCTTGGTCGAGGAGGTGTGTCACTAGGGGTGGGATTTCAGCTTCAAAAACCTATACACGGCCCAGTGTTGGCTTCCTGCCTCTTGCCTGGATCAGGATGTAAGTTCTCAGCTACTACTACAGCAACATGAATGCCTGCTGCCGTGCTTTTCACTAAGATGATTACAGACTCTGAGACCTAAGCAAGGCCACAGTTAAAACTTTTTAAAATAATCTGCCTTGGACATGATGTCTCTTCACAGCAATAGAGCAATAACTAAGGATTTACACGGAGTGTAAAAAATATAAACTTATTATACAAAAATTAGTTTGAGGTGAATTACAGAATTGGAAAACAAGTAACACTGGAAGAAAAACAAGGTAAAATTAATTTCATCAAAATTAATGTTTTTTTCTGCCCATAGTAGGTAGATACTACTATATAATCTGGAATAACCTAAGTATCAAGATACAGTGTGAAAGAGGTGGTGTAAAGATTGTGAGAGCCAGAGGACTAGAATATGTGATACAAGATGGTGCTTTCTTTAAAAAAAAATAATACATACATACATGCATGCATACACACATTCATTCATATATACATGCATACATACATACATACATACATACATACATTACAAGGCAGGTAAGAATCTAGGCAAACTCCTTGAGGGAAAGGTTTTTTTTTAAATTTATTTATTTTATGTATGGACATCCAAGAGAAACAAATAAGTGGTGGAACTATGAGTCTAGAGAAGGAATAAAACTGAAGCCATAAATTAAATACTCTTCATGATAAGCAGAGTCATGATGCAGGCTGAGTTTTGTAGGGAATGAGTGCAGACAAAAAGGTCTGGAAGGGGTCTGGAAAGTAGAAGAAGAGGAGGAGGAAAAAGCTACACTCCACAGACCCAAAGAAGCTATAAAGAAGGAAGGCCTAAGCAGGGATGCTTTTATCTCATTCAGAGGGGGAATAAAATAGTCACAAGAGGCAGAGGGAGGTGGGGATCTGGGTGGGAGAGGGGATACGGAGGGGAATCGGGTGTTGCAGGATCAGGAGTGGGGAGGGACAGGAGAGATGGTTACATAGCCATGAGAATGCATGAAAATCTGCGGCTTGATATGTGGTAGGGTAAGGAGCATCTCCAGGAAGAGACAGAGAGACCTGGGATAATGGAGGTGCCAAGAATCAAATGGAGTGTTTTTAGCTGCGATGCACTACACTGGGGATATGGAACCTGAAGAGACCACCTCCTGTAGGCAGGCAGGAACCCCAGTGGAGCGATAGGGACACCAACCCACCCATAAAACTTTCAACCCCAAATTTATCCTGTCCACAAGAAATGTAGAGACAGGGGATGGAGCAGAGACTGAGAGACTGCGCCAACCAGGAATCAGACCAACTTGAGACCCATTCCATAGGCAAGCACTGATCCCGGACACTATTAATGATACAGTTATGCCTGCAGACAGGAGCATGCTGTCCTCCGAGAGGCTCCACCTACCAGCTGACTTGGACAGATACAGACATCCACAACCAAACAGGGGCTGGATTTTGGGGATTCTTATGGAAGAATAGGAGGAAGGATTGCGGCCTCTAAGGGGACAAGAACTTCACAGGATGACCAACAGCGTCAATTAACCTGGACCCTTGGGGATCTCAGAGTCTGAACCACCAACCAAAGAACATACACGGGTTGGACCTAGCCTTCCCTCTCTGTAAGCAACAGATGTGCAGCTTGGCTTTCATGTGGGTCCTGAACAACTGGAGTGGGGACTATCCCAAAAGCTGTTGCCTGTATCTGGGAAATGTTCTTCCAGCTGGGCTGCCTTGTCTGGGCTCAGTGGGAGAGGATGTGTCTAGCGTCACAGAAACTTGCTGTGCCAGGGTCAGAGGGATACTCAGGGAGGCTCCCACCAGCTCAGAGAAGGGGAGGGTGGATAGGGGAAGGACTGTGGGAGCAGGTGACCAGGAGCGGGGCCGTGAGCAGGATATAAAGTAAGTTAAAAAAAATTAAAAAATCTTGTGCTTTTTAATTGAACTGTGTATGTTCTTTGTTCATTAATAATTTTATGCTTTGTGATATATATAACATTTTCCTAATCTTATGTTTGTCTTTTGATTCAGATTATTATATTTGGAGTGTATATACTCAAAAATATCCATTGGACTGGTGGCAAGAGATATGGCTTGGTGGGTAAAGGTGTTTGTCATCAAGCCTGTCAACATGGTAGACAGAAAGCACTGACTTCCTCAAGTTGTCCCCTGTCCTCCACATGGTCACCAAGGCATGTGATAGCAATTACCTGACCTCAGCTAGCTTAAACTATCACAGGCAAAACCTGTCCATTACCCAGCTGCATGATGATGCTTTTACAGGGTGAATCCTCAGAAGGTGCTGGGACAGTGGACAGGGAGAAGACATCCTGACAATAATAAAGACAGTCCTTTAGGAGGTGGTAGGGGGTGGGGCTCTCCCTAGAAAGGGCATGCAAGGCCACATGAAAGAAGCACTGGGCAGACAGGAAGAGTTAGGGTACAACTGCTCAAAGCTAAGGTAAAACAGAGAGGCTGGTGTGGCATAGGAGTAGAGAAAGGGGAAGTTAGGAGACGGTGGCACAAACACCCAGAAGACTGGAAGATTGGTGGAAGGAGGGAAACACTGGAAGAGGGTGAGTGGAAGTAAAATATGAACTGCTGTAAACTGAGTTCTTTGGCTGTTTCATGAAAGTAGTCTGCTAGGGCAGAGGCATGAGGGTGTCCAGATAGAAAGATCTTATATACCAAGTGACCCTAATCTTCGTTTTTCTTTTAAACATACAACTAACTATCTAAGCATACACAAACAAAGGGTTGGCAGGACTCCTGAGGGTAAGGACTGGAGTGTGATTGTTAGATGGATACCTCTGGTGCCTGAAATAATCAAAATCCAACAGTCAATAAAATCTGTTGAATTAAATGAACTAGTTCCTAGTTGTGAAATAAGACTCAGATGAAAGGAACAGGTAGAAGGGCGCTGCGGGCAGTCCTGTGGGTCACGGGACTGATCTCATTACTACATTAAAGTGAGAGACAAGCGCTCCCATCAAGGCAGGGAGGTGTGTAGTGACACTTCACTGTTTTTACTGTTGGAATGAAGGTTCAGGTTGAACGTCACAGTCAGTCTCCTTGTTGTAAGCTTCTGCAGCCCTGAAGCCACAAGCTCCTAAGCAATAGTCATTTAATGCAGAAGACACTGTATGTCTGCACTCCAGAAATGTATATGTAGGTGCTGGAATTCACAAGAAAAGCTAACACACAGGAAAATGCTGAAGAAAAAAATTTGGCCAACTTGGCAGCATTTATCTGTCATTGCTAACATTGTTTTCTAGAGTAAACTTTGAAATTGCATTCTAATTTGAAATGGTTTTGGTTTGACAAGCTAACTCTTGAGACATCTAAGTACGGTATTATGAAAGAATAGAAGTGTTCATCAGCCCTTTCTGCCAATGTTAATTTCTTTTAAAAGTACGATTTTAATGATTTTTTTATTCCTACAGTGACCCTTAAGAGTTCTATGTATGCAATCACTGATGCACACACAAGATGCATTTATAAGCGTATTGTGTAGTTTCAAAGTCAATTGGGAAACGCAATTTTAATTTTGTTACCGAAATAATTTTAAAATATAACATAGGAATGCCTCTTTTCATTTAACAGTAAAGATCTAGAAAGAGATTATACCAAGTACAAACTATTCAGGTTTATTAGTGTTAGAAATATGGAGCTGGTAACTTCAGAATGTATTCTTCTGATATATTAAAAAATTTCATAGTATGTATTCATCATACATGGTACTGTGTTATAAAAGGACATTTTCATGCAAGTATGTTATACTTTGAGCACATGCTGCCAATACTGTCCTCTTTTTTCCCTTCCCAGCCTTTTGTGGCTAAAAAGTATTCCATTGAGTATATATACTACATTTTCTTTATCCACTTCTATGCTATTGGACAGTTAGGTTAGTTCCAACTACTACAAATAGTTATGCAGTAAATGCCAATAGGCAAGCGACTTTGTGACGTGATGTAGGTAACTGCTCAGGAGGGGCGCGGCTGTGTTGTGAGGTTGATCCAGTCTTGGTGTGCTGAGGATACTACACAGGGATTGTGGACGACTACAGTGCTTGTATTAATTCATATCACCACTGTCACAAAAATATTGTTTTATGATACCTTAAAGAATTTTAAACAAAGATTCATTACTTATATTATCCTTGACATACTAAAGTCTAGAAAACACTCCTTATGAAAGATGTAAAAATTCCTCATGACTTCATGAATGTGATTCACAACTGTTGCCGATGGACAGTAACTTACCGGCTTTTGTTCATAAGGTCGGCTCCCCGTGCTTTGTAGTAGTCTAAATTGGGGTGGAACTGGTACGTCACTGGTCTTGGATTTCTCTAAAGAAAAACAATTAAATGACTAAATGACCATATATAAGACATTTAATAATTATCATGCCTGAATTTTTGTTCCAATGGTTCTTTCTTAGCTGATCAAAACTGAGAAAAATCAAATATATTTCATTGTAACCTATGTTGTTCAAATACATTAGTGTCATTAGATTGGGTTTTGATGCTTTCAGTTACTTTCAAATATAATTTTCAAAATGAGATAAAATTATAGCAAAATTGAATAATTACTTGATTTGTAACATAAGCATGAATAATCAAAATAGGCCAAGGGACAATAGGTGGGGAAAAGGTAAAAACAATCCTAAATATTTGATGATCAGAAATCTAAATATGTCCACTAGATGGCACACTGAGTCCTCCTTCTCCAAAATGAGTTGTTTTAAAGTTAACAATTTCTGTGTCATCTAATCTTATTCATAGGTTTAATAAGTACCCAAAATGTGTCAGCCGATGGAGAAATTAGAAGGACGACAGTCAGACTGACCAATGAGAAAGGACCAATGCAAATTTCTGTAAAAGTGGCAACTCTGCCCTGTCTGCCATTTAATATTATTTATAGTATGGCAGAAATGTCCTCAAACTATTAGATTGGGTGTGTCTATTTAAGTGTGCAAGCTACAGTTTAAACTGTATTAATTATTTAATGTGCCAACCTCCTCACTAATAAAAATTAAATACACTTACACTTCATAAAATCATAGTATTTTATATCGTAATTCAATTGTGCATTACAATCTCTAACATGTTAAATTATATATATTCCCATTAAAATGTTTTATAAACTTCTGAATGTTTTTTAATGTCTATCTAGGTATTTAATTTAGGTAACAACTAGGTCTTTAGACCAGAGCATGCACTATTCTCTGAAAGATGTAGTTAGAAACAGAATGACTGAATTTTATCTTAATAGAAAACCATGGATACGCTTCGATACCAACCCTTGGAGATATCATCTCAAGACACTGATATGCCTGCATGCTGGTGTGGGGCAGAGAGGAAATATAATCAAGGTTAAATAGTTCCAAATTCATCAAGCTAATAAGCTGCATCTTAATGTCCATGAAAGACCTCTTCTCTTTTTGCTGAAAGGAGAATATTTACACAGCGCAGGCTGTTCATATCTCTTCCAAGCCAGCCCTAATCATCTGACAGAAATGACAATCCCCTGATTTAACTACAGCTACTATTCCATTGGTTTGGTATTCAACACAGATCTGTAATAATCAAATCTGAATTGCCTTGATGAAGATAACGGAGGCTTCCATGACTACCATACTATTAAGTCTAACTGCAACTTTTCTCTCTCTAGGAGTTATATAGGTTACTCATGGTAGCTGATGACAACCTAGATCCAAGAATACTGGAAACATAGAATAGAGGTTAAATTAAAGCCACTGGCAGAACATTCCAGATCAGAGTTTGCTCATCATCTATTTTAAACATTAACTCCTACAAAGCTACAATTCATGACTGAGTCTGCTCTTTACTCTTTAAACCTGGAAAAGCATTTCATTTTTGGTAATATAAAAGGGGTTTCTTTTCTGACTTTCAACAAACTAATAAAGGATCATGCTACTTTTTGTTAGAAAATAGTAAAAGAGCAATCCCATGGAATGGTCCCTGAAACATCTTTATGAAGAAATGACAAGCAATTCAAGACATGAAGTGCTGATCTCTCTAAGCACTTAAAGCCATTATTAGGAACACGGATCTGACTGGAGCACATGAAAGGGCTCAATATTGCCTTCACTGAGACCTATTTAAATTCCTAGGAGACGTGCTAGAATCAAAGGGAGATAAGTTTAAAGTACTGCAGTACGGGGAACAACACACACACATACACAAACAAAACAAAAGGAAAGGAAAAAGAATTCGGTATTGAATAACTACTTCTGAAAAAGCAAGAAAATAAAAAGGGAATTACTGTTCGAAGTTATTTGAAAGGTCTCCTGTTAAGACAGTATATTTTTAAAACATAAATACACACACATGTAATCTGGACAAGCACTGTGAAAAATATAATGTGGGTCACCAAAGCAAAACTTCATTGATAAGTAAAAGTTTATCCAACAGACACATTTACACACACACACACACACACACACACACACACACACACACACACACACCAATTAAAGCAGTGGTTCACAACCTTCCTAATGTTTCAATGCTTCATTACAGTTTCTTATCTTGTAGGACCCCCCAACCAAAAGATTATTTTGTTGCTACTTCATAATACTAATTTTACTACTGTTATGAATCGTAATGTAAATATCTGATACATAACTCCAAAGGATTTCACCACGTAGGCTGAGAACCACTGAGTTAAAGAAGTGAGGCCATGAATTTGAAAGAGTGTAAAGAGAGAACATGGGAGGAGATTGAAGGAGGAAAGGAAGGAAGAACTGAGGTTGTGTAAAAAAGGCTATCACACAATAAATACCTCAATACCCATCAAAATGTGCCAAAACCCAAATTAAAATGAAGTAACTCATCGCAATCATTATTAAGTATAAATATATGCATACGCATGTGTATGCTCCAACAAAGAAAAGCCAATTCTTTGCTCAGTGGGATAAGTTACGGATGAGCAGAGTTCTAACTTACAAGTAAAGAGATACTTTCCTTTTTTTGAAAAATTTCTTCCAAATATAATGTATAAAAACATCATAGTTCTTCTTTATAATCCTTAAGATGTGTAACTTTTCTCTACAGTATGAGGCACTAGACTTTTAGTTACATAAAATACTATATGAAGAAGACCAGACCCCATGAGAGCTACAATTTCTCACGGCACACATTTAATACTATGTGTTTTAAAAGCCACTTTCACCATTCAGATTTCAGACCACAGAGTTATCTTCAAACCAAGTATATTAAAGTCAAGCTAAATCATGCAGTAGCTGCTTGCTTTCCAACATGCTTTTGTTATTTCTGCAAGTTCCCCAAACAACTTCCACAACGGTTTAGTTATAAAATCAACTGAAAAGATAAAATCATCTACCAGTTAGTTTTCTTCACTTTTCAGGTCTTCACTATGAGAGATAGTTACCTGTTCCCTAATGTAAATCCAGCCAAGGGAATTGTCTCAGAAAACATGATTTTGCATGCTGAGCAGCCACCCTGTGGCAACTTGAGTAGGCCAGATCTGTTTGTGGTAAGTACTGCTCCTCTCATTACAGGGATGCTGGTCTTAATGCCCTTTGTACCCGGAGCTTCTGTCTACTTTAAGGTCCATATTGAGACAGAAACACTAGAGGGCATGGAACAGTCAGGAATGGACTCAGACTCCTGTCTATTCCTGAGCATCTGTCAGTCACACCCTTGGTCTGTCTACTCCTGAGCAACCAGTGAGTCAGTCAGTCACACCATTGGTCTGTCTAGTCCTGAGTATCTGGTGAGTCAGTCAGTCACACCATTGGTCTGTCTAGTCCTGAGCATCTGGTGAGTCAGTCAGTCACACCCTTGGTCTGTCTACTCCTGAGCATCTGGTGAGTCAGTCAGTCACACCCTTGGTCTGTCTAGTCCTGAGCATCTGGTGAGTCAGTCAGTCACACCCTTGGTCTGTCTACTCCTGAGCATCTGGTGAGTCAGTCAGCCACACCCTTGGTCTGTCTAGTCCTTAGTATCTGGTGAGTCAGTCAGTCACACCCTTGGTCTGTCTAGTCCTGAGTATCTGGTGAGTCAGTCAGTCACACAGTCACACCCTTGGTCTAGTTTCACCACTTGTAAAACTACAGCAGGGAGTCAACAACATAATGAAAATAAGGTGCCAGGTACTTGATAACATTTCAGTGAGATGGGGGCTGTAATAACCTGTGACACCATTGGGCACCGACATACCTAACAGACTTTGACCTAGAAAGCAGATATGGAAATATGACAACCTAAAATCTGTGATGTTTAGTAGGTAGAAAGAGTGATGTCTTATACTTCTAATAATCACATATAAGCTTAAAGAAGGTTCTGTGGAAAATTTTACACACACACACACACACACACACACACACCACACACACACCACATACATACAGACAGCATTTATACTCACATGCTAAGAAGATGTAGCAAGCATAATAAATTTTGTATGTGGAGGAAAAGGCTGTCTTATTATTGGATAGGAGAATATATATTTATTAATTTTTAAAATGATATAAACACATACTATTTGGTATTTGCTAACTTAAGAGATTTTAATAATTATAGTAGTTACCTACCATATGTCCAAAGTATTGCCATTTTATAGTTTATTGGCCATGACTTTAATAAAAAAAACAAACTGAAATAGTTCCTATAATAATCAACAAATAAAGAATTTTATGTTTGTTATATAATTTGTGTCTGGAATGAAGAAAATACAAATGACAAATGAATTACTCAGTTTTCTTTCTCTTAATATCTTGTTACCAATCTTTAATTTTTATAGCATGCCAGGTTAGTGAAGGGGGAGAATAAGGCTCAGAAGGAGAATCAACACTGTAAAAATATGTGCAATGTTTTACTTTGATGAACAATACCTTAATTTTAGTGAACATATTACTGCCTCAATGTTAGGGAAAAGGCAACCAACATTAACAAAACGAATTGCTCAGCTGTTTATAAGCAAAAAGCTCTAGGGGAATTTCTCAGGACCCTAAAGGCAAAGCATTCCAGGGTTAGACAAACATATGCTGCAGGTGTGTAGGAGAGCAGGTGAGCGCCTCAGCCACGGCAGAGGAATTAGTTTACTATGCTGTGACTGACACAACCTTACCATATCCAAGTCAGAGGTGCCACAGCAAGAGCAAGTGGAAGCTGCAAAGCAGACTCTCTCCCAAAACAATTACCCGGGTAGTGTCAAGCAAACAGTTTTTCTCTTGTAGTTTTATAGAAAACAAACACTACCAATTTAAAAAAAAAAACTAAACAAAACAAACCTAAAGGTATTTTAAAGCTGCAACTAAGAACAGCCTGAAATGGTGATCATTATCCAAAAGAGATAAGGA